CACACACACACACACACACACACACACACACACACACACACAGACAGACATACCAGAGTCCCGAACTGGTAGCGGAAACCACACACTCAGATCCCGAACATAAGAACAGAGAGATCAGAAACCTGCAGCCCCCCCTCGGGTGGTCCAGGACAGCATGCTGCAAACTAATCCATGCTGCTACAGCCTCACCACGGTCAGACACAGACCCACAGTCACGCAAGGAACAGCCCTCACACACACACAAACACACTGGATGAATATAACTCCAGTGCCAAAAGAGCTAAATATGGAGTTTCTCTGTTTCTTTCTTGTTTATTTATTTATTTATTTTTTTACTCCCTGCAGCTGAAAATGTTTTCCGCTCTCATCCTCTCTGGACCGGAAAACTAGGCCAACCCTCTGCCTCCGAAACAAACAGAGGGGATGGAAAGCAAGATGGAAGGTTGAGAAGAGAGGGGATAAGGAAGAGGGAGTGACAGGGAAATAAATGACAAAGAAATGAGAGTGAGAGAGGGAGATGAAACCATCATTGCACAGGGGACGCAAACAGGACCACATAACACAAGAACTGAATGTTTAGTGAGAAGAAAAAGAGTTTAACGTTTGATGCTGAAACGATGAGTGGTGCTGCGCATGCAAAACTGTCTTCACTGGAAATCTAAGTTTATTAACCATATTTTGGTTTGTCAAATATGTCTGTATAGCTCCCCCCCCCCCCTAATTTTAGCTTTAATTGATATAGTACATTCAGTAAAACTAAATGAAAGTGAGAAAATAAAATAAAATAAATGTTATTTTAAATTTTACTTTTAGTTAACTATAATAACCTTGATCCATAATTATTTTTTATATATTTTATTAATATATATTTTTTTCCAGTTTGCTGAGCTCTAAATTATTTGAATGGACAAAAATATTTCAAAAAAATCCATATCCATTAATTCACGAACAACTAGAAAATTCATGGGGCCTTCGAATTTTGTTGTGGACAATGGTGGACCTTGGAGTCAAAAAAGGTGAGATATGACGGTCGACATAAAAAAAAAGGCTGGTTGCTAACCTGTCAGTATAGAGAAAGGAGGCATGTGTTTGTGGTCTCCTCTGCTGGGTTTGCTGGTGTGAGCCGTGCTGTCTGGGGTCTCTATTACTGCCGTCACATTATCATCATCCACTGGATCTCTGGTCGCCAGCACCTGTGTCTCCTCTTCCTCTTCCCTTACTGTGTGTGTCTTTTTCTCCACATGATCCTCCGGGACACTAGATGGCGCTGAGGTGTTTTCTGCCCTCCTGTGTCCTCCTTTCTCTTTCGCTGTCGAATCCGGCACTGCTGTAGGTGGATCTTTTGTCGAGGAGCCATTCGTCTGCTTTTCAACATCGTCTGGAATGCTGCCGTCTTTACTCTCGGCACCTTTATCATCATCCTCTTCCTCTTCTCCGTTCTTTTCTCCTTCTTCATCCTCACCCTTCCCTCCCTTATCTCCTCTGTCATCAGATCCGTCGTTCTCTGCGGCTGCGGTAGTGTCTGCGTCAGAGGCCGGTGAGGAGGTTGGTTCTGTGGTGGTCACCATAGGTTTGGCTGGGGCCTGGCGGGTGGAGGGCGGAGGCCTGGTGGGCCAGACGGAGCTGGGGAAGGAGGAGATGACCCCACCACTGAAACCCAACCCCGCCAGGAGGGTGCTGGTCACCACGGACGCCACTGTCGCTTGGCTGCCGCTGGAAGAGGGGCCAATCCCGGTTGCCATTGAAACGAAGGAGAACGGAAGACCGGAGGACGTCCAAGTGGAGGAGCCGGAGCTGATGGGAGCCATGTCTGCCGAGGATGCTGGGGACACAGTTGGCTAGAGACAGAAAGAAATTATATTTTGAATTGATTCTTAAAGATAAAATCTGTGCACATCATGTGAGTAAAATAGACCCGACACAAGCCAGACGAGGACCAACAGAATAACAGGTTTCAGGCCAGTTTTGAGCCATCCTTTTCATGCATAACTACGGATTTGCATTGAGTTCCAATTTGTAATTATTGTATACATGTAATTGAATGTTTATAATTATTATACAAATATATTTCAACCTGGTCTCATAAAAATACGTACCTCTGTGCACTTTTTGTGCAGCACCGTTTTTACGTACCTTACTGCACGTTTTGCCGCAGTTTCAAGAGCAATGTCCACTGAGTGGCGCTAAAACACGGGTTCAATTCGTGAACCCTGGCACGTTTTTATTACGTTGAAATAGGACTGATATAAAAAACACATTTGTTGATGCAACCGTGCCCTTTGAACTTACTTATATGCAGATTTGAACTGCTTTGTCGAACCGTGGTTACACCGGATTCGAACCGGAGCTCCTCGCCTCTCAAGTATGTCTCTGTACTCCGTGAGCTACCGAACAAACCTACCGCCTATGAAAACCCATAGATATGAAGCTGGATATGGGATATGATATATTTCTGTATTATCTAAAATAAATATTACATAAAACAAATACATACTGTAATTATTGTGTGAATATATACTTTTTAATATATCACTATTATTACAATTATATTAAAATTATTACTTGTAAAAAATACATGCATACTATTTTATAAGAAATAAAAATAAAAGACAAAAGATAAAAGCTTCAGTTTCAGGCCATTTTCGAGTTATAAATTAAGATTTTTAATAATTGTATAAATGTATATTTATACATATGACCCCTTTAACATTTATATTTATTTTGAGGGATTTGTAAATCTTACGCTAAATAAATGGCGTCAGTTCCTCTCCACACCAACACCTTTTCTGATTTATGCAAGTTTGACTCTATTTCACTCTGTAGAATACCCCAACTCACATATTTCTCTATGATGCTGGGTTATAAATGAAGAAGAGTAAAAACTCCTTCTCTATTTATTTATAATATAATTTATAATTCATAAACTGTCTATATTATTATTAAAACCATTCTTTGTATTAAATAATTTAACATTATATTGTGATATAAGAAATAAAAATGTAATATGCAGGTATATTTTATTTATTTAATGTCCACGCGAAGAGACCGTGCTGCCACCTGCTGGACAGATGTAAACTTACCATCCCAGTTTTGACTATTCTTGTGCCCTCAAATATCCTGGTGGTGTTAGCTACCATAACATAGAAGAAAAACATGAATGAGAGAGAGCACTTTTAAAAGCAACAACTAAACTAGCATTCATGAAAGCCTTGTTTTGTGTGCAGGTGTAGCTCTGTACCTCTGAAGAGCATGCTCTGGCTGAAGTCACTGCGCTTGTCATTCAAACACACCGCCTGGACGCGGAACAGGTACAGCACATCCGACGACACCGGTGCGATGACGGCCTCCTGAACAAGAACTGAAACACCTCCAAAAAGTCATCTGACGCTTCCAGTCAAAACACAAAAGAAGAATGGTAGACAAACACCCTCACGCACACTTTGAAGAGGTCTGAAGGATGAAGGTGAACAGCTTGTTCTCTTCTCCTTCACTTGACGGTAACACCTTTCTTCTCAAGTCATTAGCATTGAAAATAGACAGTCTCTATCAGCCTCTCCCTCACATAACATTCATTACCACCTAAAGCACCTCTGAGATGCTCAGCTGGGACACAAAGGCATTGGAATTCAGTGAGTGAGGTGCTGATTTATTTTTAAAGGCTGTTTATATAATGTACACCTTTATCAGTAAATTATGCAACACTATCAGGATCTTTCAAAGAAAATATTTATATACATTACACTTTAGATTAGTGTATAGTCAATATATGTAAAATGAACTATATCCCTGTAAATGTAGTGTGTAATAATATTAGGGGACACATAATTTAATTTGATTCTTTATTAGTGGCGTTTGCTAAGGCAAATATCACTTAGTTCATATATACTTATTTCATAATATTACTGTTTTTATTGAATTTTTTACAAATAAATGCAGCCTTGGTGAGCAAAAAAGACAAAATAAATCTTACAAGAAATCTTACAGACCACAAACATTTCAATCAAAGTGTATAGTTAATTGTACAATAAAGAACGCGATAATAAACAGCTCTTTCAATGAAATAAGTTTGACTGCGAATCAAGATTATATTTTAGATCCTAGGCAGGACCATATGAAATCTTTCTCCTTTTTTTTCACATTTTCTGCATAAATCTGCAGAATTTTGAATGATAAAATATGCTTTTCAAACATGCATTATCAAATTAGATTTTAAAATTTTTTTGAAGACAATGTGAATGGAGCATGGCTGTGCACCATTATAGTTGTGGGTGGTTGTCAGGGCATAAGATGCTCATGAGTGATTGCTATAGTGTTTTTATTACTACACTTTTATTAGTAGCTGATACAAATAATAATAAAAAAGGAACATGGAATGGGTAGTGTGTATTAAATTAGGACTCTAGCAAGTAAACACTTGATTAACAAATCTAATTTGTTGGTCAGATATGGGCTACATTTTCTTAATCACTGCATGTTTCTCTCAATGGTCTCAGATTCAAATGTCTCATGCAGGCAGCCTCATTTCATCTTTGAGAAATTAAGATTCAATACAATTCTAAGTGTATGAGCAATATCCATTATCATAACTCACTTCACCTCCCCGGGGTCTGCTGAAAAGTGCTGTGGGCTTGAGGGATTTGTAAATCTTACACTAAGTAAATGGTGTCAGTTCCTCTCCACACCAACACCTTTCTGATTTATGCGAGTTTGACTCTATTTCATTCTCTAAAATACCCCAACTCAAATATTACTCTATGGTGTTGGGTTATAAATAAAGAGGAGTAAAAACTCCTTCTCTATTGATCTGGCAAGCAGTCCCACTAAAATCGTGTCGGCCACTAATTTGACCCAGATAGCAGCATCTTGGGACGAGAGAGGAAATAAAAATGGAAATGAAGAACTTAAAAGAAAAGAAAAAGGGAGGAACAAGGAAAAAGAGAAAGGAATTTGGGAAAGGAGGGAATGGGGCGGCTCTGATGATATTCCCAGTTGGGATGCAATGCCATTTTCAAACTGTACACTGGAATGTTTGGGATCAAAATGAACAATAATGATTTAATTTTTTGTACTGTTTTGTCGCCTCACAACCGCCTACAGACTGGTGAATCAGAAATCTCAGCCTGTTATAAATTTCACACCCCACTGAGTGTGCTCGATAGAAAGTCAAGAGAAATGAGTCTAAAATACATCTCCACCTTTTAAACAGTTTTAGTGCATTAGTATTTTCAAAATGGTGGGCCCCAAGGTCAGCGTCTACTGCAGTGGCACCCTGCTGACGACCTAAAATACAGTCTTTATTCACAGTCACACTTACTGCGCTTCTGCAAACATGGATCTGAGGCTCTAGCAGAGGAGAGATTACAGGATATTATCGATGAGCTTGAGGGTTACAGACATGATAACAACATCCTCACATTCCAGACTTTAACAGCCAGTTTGTTTTCCAAGAACAGACTGCCTCAAGTCTGAAACGTGAAATGTTTATTACTTAAAAACAAGAAGAGATTAAAATGGACCCTATTTACCATTTAATATATATATATATATATATATATATATATGCATATATATACAGTTATGTCATGACAACTCTCGGAGGGATTGGCATGCCTGTACATGACAATGTTAATGTATTTGGTCTTGGCGGAATAGATCTGCTAGGCTGCTGTTGGTTATTGCTGTAGTTGTAGATTATTGCTGCTGCTGCAAGCAAGTACAGGAACTTGCTACTGCCCATAGTAGATCTATACAGGTGGAGCTGGGGAAGGTGGAGGGTTTCTGAAGCAAGCTGCAACTGCTACTGCCAAATATTTGAATGTTGAGCAGCGAGCTCATTGGCTACCGATATAGGAGAGAACCAATCAGCTGTGCCATGTGATAATGCTGTCATTAGGTCAGATTGAGTTAGACCTAACGGACTGCGCCATCTAGAGTTTCATGCCAGAACTCTGTATTTATATATACAGTTATATATACACACAGTTTAACTAGGAAATATGTGATATTTCATGCTGCCTTTAAAGTATAAGAGGGGCGATATTGTGGTATAGATGACCAATAAAAACACAAAAAGTGCACACAATCCCACAACACTAAAGTTTCCCAATGAATATTCAGTTTATAAATTTCACACCCCACTCATAAACTTAAAAAGTTTATGAAAGTCCAGTGTGATGCGAATTACACTGAAACGTAAAAGACACATATTTAATCATTTGTTGGGTTTACTGTGAAATATGGCGTCTAGATTAATATGCTGGCAATATGCATGCTAGTAAGTAGTGAATAGTGTTCCCTAATCTAAACTTTTACCAGTTTAACCAGGAGATGTGTCACATTACAGAAGTTAAAAATGTTGTCAATGCTATTTCAAGTTGTCTTTAAAGTAAAAGAGATATATTTTATAATTTTTTTGGGAGATATTGTTATATAGATGACCGATAGAAACACAAAAAGCACACACAACCCCTCACCACTATTGTTTCCCAGTCCAGTTTAACTTGGAAATATGTCCACACTACAGAAGTTAAGTGTGTTGGGAACGCTATTTGAGTTTTGTTTTAAAAGTATAAGACAAATACCTTATAATTTGCAGGAATTATTGTGAGATATTATAATATGGATGACCATTACACACACGCTAAAACCAACAAATCCTCACCAGTTTTTGATCACTCCCTTTGACATACGTCTCCTCGTATGACTCATCGTTTCTGGTCCAGCTGTAGGAAATGAGGTAGCTGATGATGGGTGGATCGTAGGTGATCTCCGGACGGGACCATCGAACGACTAGCGCCGTCTTGTTCATGTGCTGGACGTTCATGTTGATCGGGGCACTGCTGCATGCTGTGTGAAAGACAAAAATGACAAAAACGTGTGTTTACCTCTTTGCCACCACTCTAACCTTGAGCTCCGTTAGTGCCCTTAGATCCCACAGCCACTAGATGGCTCTGTTAGACTACTGACTACATCTACTCGGCTTTCACGTGTCCTGAATTGTGTCATGCCCTCTCTAAACATCAGCAGCATCCAAGTTGCTGTTAATCTCCCCAGCAGAAGGTGTTTGTTTAATCACCGAGCGTGCCACAGTTTCTGGCGGCTGACAGCATGCGTAGGGGTGAGCTTCTATTCATAGAGAAATCTGACAGAAGAAGCCCTACATTTTCTTTAGTTTTGGTCTTCCTAAAATGAGTGCACACATTTGCAACACAGGCAAACGCACACACACCTCCACACATACACACACACACACACACACATACACACACACACACACACACACACACAAAGTATTCCCTCCCATATAGCCACAGGGGAGCCATTACATCCAAAACAATGCTAATTAAACTAATTCTGCCATTACTCCTCATGCCGAAGCCTCTATTAGCTCTAATCATGGGAGAAGTAATAGTGACTACCGTTGTAATCATACTGCATAAGGAATACAGTGATGCCTGTCCTGACTTTCTCACAGATGGCGTGCATTCATGATTATAGCACACAAACGTGACTGTGACCTTTGAGGATGGAAGCTTGTCCTTTAAATAAGACCTTATAGACATTTCAACAGCCTCCTCAGGTAAGAGTTTATTGGGGAATTATGTTCAAAAGCTCATGAGCATCCCAATTTGCATACAATTTGTGCTAAATGATATTCAAGATTAAAAGCAGTATGTCTCAAATCATGGTACACTGAATATATGCTAAAGGTATCCAGGCAGTACTATTAATACTGTCCACAACTCCTTGCACAATGAAAGATGAGTTTAAGATGGTCTCTTTTCACCTTTTCAAAAGTCAGGAATGCTGTCGCATCACTTTTTAATGTATGAACCTAAAAGTTAAGCTATAATAAATTTTAAACCTCAATGCAAGCGAGTTTGTCCCAAAACCTGCAAAGTGTTTCACTACTTACTCAAAAGTATGCACTTTCCCATCAAATGCAAAGGACATAATTTTACCGCATAAGTATCCAAATTGGGATGCGGGAACAGTAATATACAGTATGGGACCCTAAAAGACTGTTCACACCAACAGGAATGTTTGGCATGGAAATGTGAAATATGAATCACCCTCTGACAGTAGGTGATGTTTACAGAAAACACAAAATACAGATATTTTATGTACAGTTACTATATAAAGCGCTGCACAACCTTCTGTTTCTGACACCCGAATGTCATGGTAAAGCTTGTTTTCAAACAACTATTCGCAAAAACATAGCTCTTATTGGTTGGTCAGTTTTCTTCGCAATGCAATCTTCAAAATTGCTTGTCAACGCGGATGTCTATTGTTGTTGCATCTCTAGTAGTTTGTTGTTGGTGTTGTGTCTTTATTACATCACGCACACTGTACACAAACCCTAGCGTACATGTAAAAAAATCACGTAAATAGTATACTTTGCGATTTTGTAGCATGTCCATTTAACACTTAACAGGAAGTGGAGTTAAACACAGAGAAGTTTATATAGGCTAAAATCACAGTCGCAAGGAGTTAAAGCCACAAAATTTTACTAAATTAAACTTAATTTGCTTAGGGTGATACCTTCGAAAAATTGACAAGAACATTGATCTAACTGACGTATGAAATCATATATCACACCTTGGCAAAACTGCAGCTTTCCAAACTGTTTTACACAATCTCGAACTCTTCTGCGTGATTGTGTTAAATAAGATATATATATTTTTTAATGATAGATTTAAAAAACGGTTCAACAGAATTCCAAGAAATCATCACAAGAAAAGCCTGATCATAACATCTTCTCCATCCACATGGAGCACTACACTATATAACCTATCCCTACTCTCTCGCCCCACTCAGAAACACAGTCGCAGAGGTTACTGTGTGAGAGTGCAGGTCTCTTATGAGATGCACAGAAAAGTGTTTAATAAAAAGCCCACCGGCTTGTTGACCATGGAGAGTGAGATTAATGCAGGGATATAGCAGGAAAGGAGAGAAGGTGGGAGCAGAAGTCAAATTAGAGAGAGAGAAAGTGCAAACACTCCGTTAACCTTGAGCGGCTGTTTCGAACAAGTTGACACATAAGACCAGTTTAAAGGAACAGTTCACACACACACACACACACACACACACACACACACACACACACACACACACACAAAAAATATTCTACCTTTGAATGGAAAAAAAGCTTTTCTTTCAAAAAGATTTTGAGTGAAAAAAATAAACACAACTTTCATTTTTTGGCGTACTCTTCCTCAAAGCAAGTGTGTGCTAATGTGTTAGCATTAGCCACACAAGAACGGCTCGGATTACGCATACTTTAGCTTGAAATATTGAATGTTTAACACTGAAAAAACATTAAATTGACGCATTTCCCAGCTGGACACACTCACAGTGTGCTGCGCCAAAATCTGTACTATATTCTGATAAAACTGATTTGGCTGTTTCACCTACTGTGAAGGAAAGTTCAGCTATGATCCGGCGCGTGTTTTGAATTAATCGAAGCTGACAAAAAGTTCAGCTCCAGCCTGCAGGCAACATTGATATGCTTCTGTTTTCAGCCTCTATCACACTATCACTCCGCCCTTTCATCCTTTTTTCTTTATTCTATCCTTTCTGTTCTTCAACGACAGTATACGGCATCCACAGTCAATTTTGCACGGAGCTGAAATTAAACATATAACCAGGGAGCGATAAGAGAAGCATTTCTCTCTTCGTATTACAGTATTTCATAATATTTCCCAGCACCCAATTTAATTCTATTCCGGATTCGGAATGCGCTGGAATTTGAGCAGCCGCTTAGGAGGATCGGTGCAGTTCCGGCAATCCAAGAGTTATTTGGATCCGCATTAACAAGCTGCTCGGACAGAGAGAGTTAAATGGAGAGAGAGGGCTGGTCAGGTCTCTGTGCTTCTTCAACTACTGGTACTTTTGAGGACTTTTAATTTGTCTATTAAAGTCCAACAGTGGATATACATGCATCACAGTAGAATTGTGACATTTTTGTTTTTCCTTCCCTGATCCGACATACAACGATAGTTATGAAATTAGTCTTAGCAACACACAATAGTCAGCCATTTTATTAAAAAAAAAAAAAAAAAATGCTTAAAATGACATTTCCACCACAAAACGACTGGTATCTCGATATGTGGGGAAAATGTCAAATAGCTTTACAATAAAATGGTCAATTACTTTGTCTCGCTAAGGTTACTTTGGCTTACTAATTTATTAGCTATTGTAGCATTTTATGTATCCTAAATACACATTAATTACATGATATTTTCCACATTATTTACATAATATGACAAAAATACATATATACATACAGAATTATTAGCCCTCTTGGTAAAAATGAGCAAAGAAGTCTGTGGAAATAAATCTGCTTTGTTTATACTTTGCATCTTTCATTCATAAAAATTTTAAAAAGCTAACCTTTCATTGAAGCAAAGCAATTGAAAAACACATTATGAAATAAATGTTTTTCTCCAACACACATTGGCCACAGTAGTGCCAAGATTCCTGGTTGTTGTGGAAATTATGTATGAGGGACAATTAAAATAACAGCTTATTAGTTCACTCTCATGTTTATTATTACAGTTTTAAAAATACAGTGTCATATTGAAAGATAGAGCACCTATAAAGAGGGAGGATGATGAGAGAAGAATTGCGTCCGAAAGTGAGGAGGAACAAAGATCTCCATCAAAGGTCAGAACAGAGTCTGGCCAGGTGTAGATGTTGCCTCTTTACCCTGACCAAGACAATGAGAATGGCGTGGTCTTTTTGACTTGTCATTTGTGTACTGTGATCTGTATTTGAGCTGTGGGGAATGAGATGGATCACCAGGCAAGATTTTATGAACATGTGAGAGAACTGTAAATGAGAGGAGCTACCGCGGTACAATGCCAGTGCCAATCAATATTTCTTAAAGCCCTCCAGATATTATGCTCGATATAGTACAGATAAAGAGTGTGTAGGATGAATGTTTTTGTGTATATGGGGTAAAAAACCTTTGTCTGTATTGAAAGGTAGTGGGTGTGTATTTTTGTTTGCCAATTTGTGTGGATCAAATGCTCCCATGAAAAATGACAGTAAGGATTAGTTTGTTAGGGTTAAATCCCTGTCACATGACCTACGTCAGGGCTTCAATGCCCCTCTCAACACAAGCATCAAGTGCCGCTGTGATCTCCACATGAAAAGTGGTGCACGAAAAGCATTTTTACAAGGTTGCTAGGCAGCAAGAATGCAGGAAGTTTACACTGTAAACAGTGACGGAAAGGGCTAATATGAACTGGAGTTTACAGCAGGAAAAAGTCCTGGTGTTTTTCTAAATGTCATGATATGGTAGGATATCAAAATTTAGGCTTACAATAGCAGTCAAAATGTAATACCTCATTTAATGACTAAACATAGTTGAGTGACATGGAACTAGGACGGTCAATAGATTCAATAATTCAATATAAATTTGAATAATATTTATGAGGCCAGTAAGGTTGTTTAATGTTTTTGAAGGAAGTCTCTTATACTTTCCAAGGCTGCATTTATTTGATCACAAATACAGAAATGTAATAGTGTGAAATATTATCACAATTTAAAATAACCGTTTTCTACTTAATATATTTTGAAATGTAATTTATTCTTGTGTTGGTAAAGCTGCATTTTCAGCATCATTACTCCATTCTTCAGTGTCACATGATCCTTCAGAAATCATTCTAATATGCTGATTTGCTGCTCAAGAAAAAAGTCTTATTATCAATGTTGAAAACAGATGTGCTGCTTAATATGTTTGTGGAATCTGATACATTTTTTTCAGGATTCTGATGAATATAAAGTTCAAAAGAACATCATTCCTTTGTAACAATATATAAGTCGCTTTTGATTATAATCAATTTAAGGCATCCTTGTTGTATAAAATAGATAATAATAATCCAAAAAAAAAAAAACAATACTTAGGACCATGTGATATTTCAGTTTTTCTTTTTTAATAAATCTGCAAAAATGTCAACGATTCTGTGTTTTTCTGTCAATGTGGGGTGCTGTGTGTACATTAATGAGGAAAAAAAATTAACTTAAATGATTTTAGCAAATGGCTGCAATATAACAAAGAGTGAAAAATTGAAGGGGGTCTGAATACTTTCCGTACCCACTGTATATATATGGAAATGCAAACCCTCAGCTTAATACAAATCTACATAAACTTCATAAGTACATAATATCTACTAAGCTTCATATTAATATTTGTATATGGGTAATATGTAAATTGTGTGTTTATAAAATCAAATGTGTGTGTATGTCTGAATGGTTCAACCATCTGTGTTCAAATAACCTCAACATGGACCAAAGCAGCTGCCTTTTGGACACCAGTAGAGGTAAAGCATGTGGAGCAGATCTGTGGCGTATAGATAGAGGTGAGAAAAACAGTGTGTCCTTGAAAAGCTGCAGTCCTGTGCATTTCCTGCAAGCACGGCTACCACATGGAGCAGAGAAGTGAGCGAGAAAATAGGCAAGTGAAGACAGAGCGCCTAATGACACAATAGCAGAGGACGGCACCATATGCCACCTACTCACTCTCATTACACACACGCACTCACAGACACTGACACACACGCGTTCATTCTTGCATTATGCGATGAATTATGAGCAAGCACTAATGAGGGAAATCTGATTCTAAACTGGTATCTAAAAAGAGTCTCGAGATTTTGAATACAGGATACGTGATGCACAGCCATTATATACAAACATCTGGCTTGACAGAAGATGCCAACCAATCAGCTGTCAGAAGAGCCCGCCCACCTTTGGAAGCCTCGGTACCGTATGGGTTCCCCAGGCTGTCAGTCAAGTCAGGCAGCCAAGCGTCTTTGACGGCGGATTTGAAGACCTCTCGGTTGTCCAGACTCTGGAGTGGGCGGAAGTTGTTACGCAGATATTCCACGGATTTAACATGATCCTGCTGTTCTGTGGTGAAGATGGAGTAGAACGCTTCCAGCTGAGAGAGAAAGAGAAAGAGAGTTCAGTATGTTTTTATAACTGTCTCTTATTTTTTCAGTAAGTCATCTCCCAATATGCCCGGAGTCTCTTTCCCTCCTTCCAAACTAGTGACTCAGAGGAATGTTACTTTAGCTCACAGGCTGATCAAAGACTGAAAACATGACCGACTGGCTGTCTTATTTTTGCCTCTGCTCTGCCTCACTAACCTTCTGCCTCCATCCCTCTCCTGCTTTCTAAAAACACTGAACGTTCAGCCGAACCCGCACACTGTCCTCTTTACCTTATCCCAAATCCTGTGGAACAGGAAGTCATCTGATGGATCACTTCAAACTAAAACACTGTAAGAGGAAGCACAGGCTATGTGTGTGAGTTTGAGGCTTAACCATTGAGAAACATTAGTTTGGAGACATATTTTGAGGATAACAGTAAAACAGGTAAAATGGTTCATAAATAAAAGGATTGGATATCAACATTCATTCATTGATTCATTCATTCATTGATTCATTCATACTAAGGTTTAGATCAAGGTTGTTGGTTTTTTTGTTTTTATTTTAATTAGCTTTAGTATTTTTCACTCCTCAGCACCACTAGCGCCACTATCTGTCCGGGATGATACTGTACCATCCTCAAAAACGTTTAAGTCACATGTTATTTGTCAAATTCACAACAACATTGCTGCAGTCTTTGCTGACAATGAAATGTGCTATAAATGCACCATCAGCGCTACATTTAACAGTAAACTATGCATTACTGACACTGTGGCATTTTCAGGGCATTTATAACTCAAAATGGACTGCATCAGCTCAGATCTTGCGTCAGATGACCACACCAGAGAACACCTTTTCCCTGGATTTGCCAAAGTTGGCACATTTCATAGCATAGAATCTTTGAAATATTCAAGAGTTTTGTTTGAGACCATTTGAATCCACTTTTGTATTTGTGTCTTTACAACATTTCTCGAAGACAGCTGCTCTGTTTTAGCTTTTGTAACTTTTTTAGTTATTGGTAATGTGTTATTAATTATATAAAAGTGATAAACAGTAATTATATATGTAATACATTAATGTGAAATAAAAATATAAAGCATATAACAATGCTATAATTGTATTAATTTACATAAAGTTTCTAATTTGCTTGTTTTTATTTGTTTCTTTGTTTCTATTTTAGCACTACTTGTCTTCGCCAGGTCTGAGAATATATATATATATATATATACAACAGTTCGTTCTGGTTCTCAAATCTGATTGGTTGAGAACCGTGAGATATTGTACTGGTATCGCTACAGGAACGCCCTTTCACAATTTTTTAGTTAGGATAACAAAATTCAGAAGACAATTCAGAAATTTCAGTGGTATCATAAAAACCAGCAAAAAATCTACATCATGACATATATTATCTCTATATCGACACATATCAAAATATTGTCGATATATATCACATATTTTGGACATATCACCCACCCCTAATGGAAACCTTCAAGAGCATTGTCAAATCCTATATTCCAGCACCAATACACCACAGAGTCAGATTTATGACATCATTTCCTGTGCATTTGGGTTCCGCACTGAGATCCACCGCATCAATATGGCACTCTCGAATAATCTCTAGATCACAATCCTCATCTATTAATCCCTCATACGCCAAAACCGCGCTTGTAAACATCTTATTGGGATTGGGCACCGGACACAAAAGCATGCATCTTATTGTGTACAATTCTTAGTGCAGTAGTAATCCGGGACAGATTTGTGTGTGTGTGTGTGTGTGTGTTTATGCAATGACTGTCCATCATGGATATGAAGGTTAAGTAATCCCTGGTGGGAAATCACGGCAGCAAGGCCGTTCTGGGTCACACATCTCTGTGTGTGTATACATCACTGCTTAAAAGACATGTTGGAGTCTGATGGTTGAGTAATCCCTTATGGCTAACCACAGCAACAGGGCATTCTTGGGGCAAACTGCAAGATGTGTGTGTGTGTTATGTCCACCTATGCTCCTATGCAGATGTTGCAAATGCAGTAGACTGGCTGAGCATCGATCGGCGCTTATGGCGCCCCAGAGCTCCGTCTGTCATTCTCCGTGACCTACTTCCTGCTTTGATCAAGAACAAAGGAGCAAGAAAAATGGGGAGTGAAGGACAACTGTCTTCCTCCATAGACTCACTTATATCTGCCTCAGCAGTATTTCCTTTCAAACAAAATCACCCAGAGACGAAAGGGAACAAAAGAACTTTAAGAGGTGTCAAATGAAAGCAGAAAGCTTCTGTGGGCAGCGTTTATGGCCCTACGGAAGGGACTGTGTCTTCCTGTAGAATGCTTGCTGAGCTGTGACCGTTACACGTATCACTTCCTGCAGTTTTGATCTGACGGGCTCTGAACATTTGGGTACAGATGGTGACTCACACTTCTCACAAAATCTTGGCTATTATTGCACATTTTTCAGTGATTATACATAATAAGTTGACTATATGTACAGTCATGTAAATGCCTTCATAGCATGTCATAAAATGTTTAAACTATAAGATGTTTGCCCATTAGCCTGATCTGTTCTTTTGCGTCCTCTTGTGCTTGAATGCTTTAAAATCTCTTGGATGTGTAAATTGGCAAGGCTTAAAAACACATGCAAATGATAAGCTTTCGTGACGAGCGTCTTTCATGCTGGCCTCGGGCAGCCATATACATGCCAATCTGTCACAACATTTAAAAGCAATTTAAATGTAACAACATTTTTTCAAAATCGACTAGCCTGGAATAATTAATCTGGTTTCTGATTTACCTGACCCACATCTTTGGGTTTCTTTGTGGTGTGTTTACATAAAATGCGTTCTTTTTTCAAAAATGGCTAGACAGACAACACTGGGGTATTTGTAAAGTAACTAATTTTTAGCTCAAAACCACACAATGCTGATGGCGGCATACTTAAACTGTGCAAAACATGACACAGATGTCAAATACATGCATCTGAATGTGTATGACTAGCAGCAGTGCTTTTAAAGGTAATGAACTGAAAATACAACATTTTTGAAAGGTTTTGCTGTGCAAACCTTAGCTACCAGCTAAAACATACAATCAGAATGCCAATTAAAGTATCATGCTACAAAATATAAAGACTACACAATATGAAATAGTCAACGTCACTAATTGACTGGCCAATTGCTGAAAGACTTATCATTAATCATCCATTTTGACTAACAAACTCTCATGACCACAATGCTGGATTGTACAAACACGTACAACTATTATAATTTTTGTTTTACATCTTCTCAAAATTATAGTTAATGTGTTATTGCCTTGTGTACCCTACATGTTTCTATGAATTTTAAGTGGACAAAAATGATGTATTGTCAGTACTGTGCTGGCTGAATGTTGGACAGTCAGGTTCACAATAGTACAGCATACTGAGCCCCATTCAAGATAAACAAGCAGAACAGCATTTGGAGGGCCATTTACGAATTATGCAATGTATAGTTTTTCAAATGATTTACACTGAAATTTGGTACTTCAGTCCATTGCAGTCTCGTTTTTGTGTGTCAAATTAAATATGCATTGTCTGTCTATTTCTGGTTAAAATATTGCTTTTTTCATTACAAAGTCTTACACCATATGGTCACAAACCTTGAAAAGACTTTGAAATAACATGGAATCTTACAAGGCCAGATGAGGTTTATACAGATATCCTTTCATCTTTTATACGTGAGAGCAAAGCCTCTGTTTGCCGTTTCTCTTTTAACACTCGGTGAGATCAGAAGTCACAGAGCGGCCAGAGATGGATCGGTTTCTGACAGAGAACAACCTTCATAAACAGTCACTGTGTTCCCTGTCTGTATAAACCCTCTTTGTTTGGTATCTGAGTCCAACAGTGGTGGTTGTGGTGGCCTCTTTCCCCTACACTTTGCTGGAAACTCACCTGACCTTCACTGTTCATGCAGCCTGTTAGCATGGAGATGCCCCATTTTTGGTGGTTGGTTTTGTTATATTACAGTGTAAAAGCTGAGTTTGAGAGTTTTCCTTATCAATCAGAGCTCAGGAGCATTGCCGAGAGGGAGGACAGGATGTATGTGTGCAAGCGGTGCTGGGTGAAGAATACTAATGGAGAGGCAGTGTGACGAAAGTCATGCATGGTCCATTAGAACAATAAAAGCTATTACACACACATCTCTTTTCTTTTATTTCTCATACTGTTCTGCTCTTGTCCCAATAAGACAATAAATCTAATAAATCTCAAACAGTTTTAACTTCTCAGACTTCTCAACTGGGTCAGCCGCTCTTTATTATGGGAATAGTGGGAATAGGCTTTGCTTTGAGTACAGATGCATAATAAATTCCCAATCTTGTTTGTTATAATTTGGTATATGTCTTAAAATAAATGTTTGTAAAGACTCAAATAGCACGAATAACTTCAAAACACCTTCATATGTGTGGCACAGACTCACCTGTTTGTAGGAGAGGGGGTGATGAATACTAATGGAGAGGCAGTGTGACGAAAGTCATGCATGGTCCATTAGAACAATAAAAGCCATTACACACACATCTCTTTTCTTTTATTTCTCATACTGTTCTGCTCTTGTCCCAAACCCCAGGTGTTTTTTCATGAGCTCTGTCTAATAAATCTCAAACAGTTTTAACTTCTCAGACTTCTCAACTGGGTCAGCCGCTCTTTATTATGGGAATAGTGACTTTGAGCTTTGCTTTGAGTACAGATGCATAATAAATTCCCAATCTTGTTTGTTATAATTTGGTATATGTCTTAAAATAAATGTTTGTAAAGACTCAAATAGCACGAATAACTTCAAAACACCTTCATATGTGTGGCACAGACTCACCTGTTTGTAGGAGAGGAACACGGGGCGACTGAAGATGATCCACTCCACCACTTTACTGCAGGGCGGTGTGGTCAGAGAGCCGATGTAACGGTAGTAGCTCCCGATAGAGGACGGCAACAAGTCTCTAATCACGAAGGGCTCTAGAAATGTCTCTTTCTCTGGAAAAACAGGAAGCACAAAAATACATTGAGATCAAGCATTTTATCTAGTTAGTAGTGTTTGATGAAATAGTGCTGATTACTGATGCTTATATTGTTAGGTTTTTGAATTGGGTTCTTCTTAACAGTTCTGCTAACAAATCTCTTAGTATTTGAGAAAGAACTATTTAAATAAAATATACTTATAAATGAAAAATAAATAAAATACCATTGCCAAATGATGAAATAAATAAAAATGATTCTTTTGATTTTTAATAGAATTTTCATCGTCTTAGAGAGGCAGTATAAATGGAATCAGATAATCAGCTATAACTACACATTTGATTTGTGCATTTATTTTTATAAAATACTACTTACCACTCATGTCACTGAGAAAAAACTCATAATGCCTGTCTTTAACTACACATAGTAATTTGAACAAACAGTCAATAAATACACTGATCTCACAAGCCCGACAAACAACACAGTGAGTGTTTGATTCTTTAAAAAATGAAGCATAAGAGTTATTCTTTCAGCAATCAGTCTACACTAGTCATACTATGTTCCTCATTTACTAAAAAGAAGTGCTGCATGGTTTGTCTTCACTAAAAAGAACTGACTCACAGGGTCTTTCTTTCAGAAAAGTCTACACTGGTGCACCTATACTGTATAACTGCACTGCCACTATACTGTATTACTGTATACTGCCAACTCATAAGATTCAATATTGTTTGAGTGAATAGAGTTATGCTATTACTTTGATAAACAATCCGGATTTTGCAGTAAACACGATAAAACACTCAGGATAGTTTAGAATCTGCATAGCAACACCCTAGCAGCCACCCACAACACTCTATCATCATGGCTGTGACTTGTATGGGCAAACACACATATTTGCTTTGTGTGATTATTGCTTGTTTTGATTATGAAAATGTTTTTTTGTTTTTTTTGTACACAGCAAAATGGAGCAGCTGTAACTTTGAGATTAGTCTCTGTTTTGTCCTAGAATTGTTTTTCTCCTCTTGTTGTGTCTGTTGTTAGTCCAAAAAGAGACACAGACCAAACTAGATGTTCAAGCTGTGGATGAGTTGTGCGTTTAGCGTTTTAAAGCCACTCAATCCTTGAGAGGACGCAATCTGCAGATTTCTACACATAATCCTCCTCTGATTGAAATGCTTATCAGTTCCATCCAACAATGCCTGCCCAACATATGGCTGGCCTGGTGACATGATAAAACGAGAACTGCTGAATTACACAGCTTTCCACTTGAGTGTTTCTTGTTCTGATTTTCAAACGCACAAACATTTTCCTTGAAATCAAGATAAACAGATGGAGAAAGTCGATTGGTTTGATGCGAAGCGACGATGACGCACAAAGAATAAAGTATATTGCCAGCCCACTGACCCATATTCCAAACCTAACACTAGGAATCCTGTTCAAAGGAGCCGATTTGGAAATATCTGTGCAGGAATTCTACACATGTGATAATAGTGCAGCCTGAGCTGTCCAACCCCCCCAAAAAAGGCACTGCTGACACTCTCTGTCCCGCCATTAGCCCATTTGTCTGATTCCATGCCTTTCAAATATATTGCCAATGAGAGCAGTGATGGCCTGGCCAATGAAGACTTCAAAACACCCCTGGAAGACTGTATTAATGGACTTGTAATACAGTCCGTAGAGAACCCAAGAGCTCATTGCAGTGTTTTGATTTAAGCACCCCTGAGAAGAGACGTTTGGTTGAGTGAACAATACTCAACGACTGGTGTGGCGTGCAATGGGATGAACATGAACTCGCAACTCACAACGCCACTACCAATCACAGCAGGGTATAGAGATACTGCGATCCGATAGCAGTCTCATTATCACTCGCTGAGAGACAGAGAGAGAGAGGGAACAAAATCAACAGAAGCATGCGCTCATTTATATGTGCCTAGATGGCTAGTGTGTAAATGGGGAGGCTAACATGCCTTGTGTTGTGTGTATATTGAAGTTAAGGTTGAATGAATGGTGATTCCCTGAAGGCTGGACAGGGAATGTAGAACTAGAGAGAGAGAAGCTTTTTGTCGTGCCTCAGTGGCATGGTAATGGATGCCACAGAGCGCTTTTCTGTCACACACACAGCCACTAGGCAAACACCACAGTCACACATCCGTGTCTGAACCCAGCACGCCACCGACTCTCTCCGCCACATGCAGTCCCGCCGCCGAAACGTCCATCATGAGGTTACACCAGCGGCCGTGCTCTAGGAGAATGTTCTTATTAAACATCCTGTTTTAGACTGAAATACATTAGAATATGAGTAAAATGGTTTGCAAATGCTGTTTCATACTGGGTTATGTACTACTGGGTGCACGTGACATGAGCCATGCTTATATGGTTTAGAATGTGTCATTGCTTTTCCTGTGTCATAAATGTGAACATTTTGATCAAGCTGCTTCGTTTCCATAAATAGTCTGAGTGGACTGAAGAGGGAGCTCAATCTACATTGCACTCCATCATACTGTGAAAAAAAGCAAGGAATTTCCTGCTATCCTTAATACGTCCCCTTTAATAGCTTAAACAACTCTGAAACTACTGTCGTGAGCAAACCCGACCCCAGCTGAGCAGCTCTGTAAGGACCTCATTTGTCCCCGCCGCTGACGATAAAATGAAGCATGCACTTCATAAGAGATTCATTAAAACCTGCTCATGTTAACGTCAGGCGAAGGAACAAAAGCTTACATGCTTGAATTAAGGATTTGCAAGTGACATGTTCCCAGAGGGCCTGTATAATGTGTCTGCATGTGTCGCCTCGACCCCAACTCCATTGTAATCTGAAGCAAACGCAAATGCACTGTTGTTCACACTGGGCCGTTCTCACAGAATGCACACAGTCTTGTATTGCGTTTGCATGGCACGTCTGCTCCTCACGCGTGGTTAAATATTAAGATAAATTACCATAGGAGCCTATATGGATGATCACTTTACAAGACAGCTCTCCTCTTCCACCAGGTGAGAGCTATAAACACAGCGTGTAAAATTTTTCCTTGTGCTTCTCAACACGGATGCACACCTCTTAAGCACCAACACTACCCGAACACTGCTCAAAATCTTCTGTTTTTTTTTTTTTTCTTTGCAGCCAGATTGGGGAGAAACATGTTTAAGAATTCACATACGGCTGTATTCATGTCATTTGAGCTGCTAATCGTTTGGTTAAGCTACTTGCTCGTTGTGTACATATTCGGCAGGAGATCAGCAGGTTGAAATTATAGACGTCTGAGCACTGACAGCGGAGACACGGCTCTGAATATGTGCAGACCCCCTGCTCCTATCTGTCTGGGATAAGAAGAGAGAACGCAGATCTGTCCCACCTCCCGCCGAGAACACACACGCATACACCTTCAATCCACCCCCTACTCCAACCCTACTGAGCAAACAAGATCAACAATTGTTCACTAAGCTCTGTTAACATTTCGGTAAACTGAACAGAACACCTTACCAAAATACTTTTGACAGGATATGTGCACGGTTTACTGTATTCAGCTGCACCGCAACGGAATCTACGATAAAAAGGAGTTCATTTGACGAATGCCTCTTATAAGCTGGTTCTTTTTATGAATCAAAAACATACAGTGGTCACACTTCATGAGACCAACTTAAACTTAAAATCTTTTGCCCTCATGTTAAATTGCCATTTGAGTGGATTCTTATTGAAATGGCTAGACTTTTCCCACAAAAGTTCACTGAAAAACCATTAGGGATGGGCTTTTTTTTATTTTTTATATTGCATTTAAATATTTGAGCTCATAAAAATGAATATTCGAATATTCGGTTATTTAAATGAAGTTTGAGAAAGACGTTAAGCGATGTGTGCAAAAAATGTACAGGAAAAAGCATCTAACGCAGAGCTCAGAGCGAATGAAAAAACAAAGGCTGTAAAGCACGTATATATATACACTTGAGTCGGCATATGGTTATTGTGTTTACATTGTTTCACATGTTCTTGTAAGAAGGCACAGTGTTTCTTTTCTTTTTTTTTTCAGTTGAGACGCTTTGGTTGCTATGATACAGAATATTCACTAAAGTAAAGTGGCAGACACATCGTCAATGAAATGTTGAATGAAAAACATTTTTCATATTTTCAGTAGTAATTTATAAGAATAAATAAATTAAATATCAAAATTCTTGCTTGTTTAGTATTTTTATTTATATGTAATATATCTAAATGTATGTGTAAAAACACCCTTTTCATTTGGAAACACTTTACAATAACCTTCCTTAGTTAACTTTAGTTAATGCATTAACTAAAAATAAGCAATATATATATATATATATATATATATATATTTTTTTATTTTATTTTTTTTTTTAATTTTTTTTTTACAGTATTTATTAATCTTTGTTAATGTTAATTAATAAAAATGCACCTGTTCATTGTTAGTTCATGTTAGCTCAGGTTCATTAAATAATCTCAACAGATAAAAGTTTTGATTTTAAAAATGTATTAATACATATTTAAATTAACATTAACTGTAATTAATTAATGCTTTAGAAAAAAAAATGTGTTAGTTCATGTTAATTAATGTATATAACTAAGGAAATTTATAGTAAAGTGCTACCGACTGTTTTTTTTTTTTTAAATCTATAAGACTTTTTTATTACTGAAATCCTCTCATCTTGAGGCAATGAAATTCTGTTTTATATTTTTCTTAAATGCTTGCCAAAATAATTGTCAGTGGAACTGTTAAGGAACTGAATATTAAATAAAATATTTTAATATAACATATCTTATGATTCCCATCCCTAGAACTGCACTGAGAAACTCAAATATCATAGAGACTTGGGAATGGGCTCTTTTAACCACACAAAACACCCTAGCAACCGCAAAGTCATGTCCTGCCAACACCCTAGCATCATTGTGGCTACTTTAACAAGTGCATAGATGACTCGATCACAATATATATATATATATATATATATATATCAGAAAATGTAAAAATTGAGTTTATCACCCTCATCACATTTTGGTAAATCTCATCACCGTCATTAGATAGAGTGTCATTATCTTTGTCATTTGGCAGGTAGAGGCAGAACTATTTTCAGTCTTGGTAAATTCCCTTTTGAGTGTGAGTTGTTTAACGTGAAGTCCATTATTACACTGCATTAGAGTTGATCTCTTTGTCAGAATGGCACTGTGATGCTTTTAGCACCACAGCCATCCGGATTACACCACAACTTCATCATTCTTTCTCTCTCGCTCACTTTCTACTACTGTCTCAGTGGGCAGCACAAATCGCAGGCCGGTAATTACCATCAAAGCCTCGGCTTGCCTTTAAACTTCGCACAGATACATAGAGAGATGTTCCTGAGATGACTGAATAGCAGGCAGAGCAAGAGTATTTTAACTAAGAAACCCTTAAAGATGTCAATTTGCTCTGTCTGAATCACGGACAGACCTTGCTGTTTCATCTCAATATTCCGGAATATACCGTTCAGCTCACGCTGGGAGCAGCTGGTGGTGTCTTCATCATTTAAGAGCTTTTAATGTCTGTAAGCGGACAAAAGGAACATTGAGGAAATTGTAGATGACTTTTAGAGGGTCAACTTATATAAGGTCATTTTCAAGGCACAATCATCTTGCGAAATTAAAATTATCTTTCGGTGCCCCTAGCACAGTTAGCCAATATTTAAAATCTTAAAGGGGAAAAAACATTTCTTAAATTTTAAAATACTATATTTTACATCAGTTTATTACACGACTCTGTGGAACACTTTATTCTGATTGGTCAGTTGAGACATTCCGAGGTATGTTATCCCTCGATAACAACCGGTAAAAGCTGATAACACAGGCTCATCCAGGTAACTGAAGTCTGCGCTATACTCTTGCTAGCAACAGTTTTTTTCGGTGGAAGCTTTGCGTTTGGTTAGCTAATAAAATATTAAAACTCAATTCAATATTATGTGTACAATTATTTAATGTCATGCTGGTATCGCTGAATTGCTCTCTCGTTTCATACAATCGCAGCTGCTGCCATTTTGCAATGATTATTTTGTACACTGTAATGGATTATTAGATAACCAACAAACTGGTAAGATTTTAAAACAGTTTTGTCTTAAATATCTTTTATCGCCTTAATTATTTATGTGGTGAAATGTTGTGTAATAAGTGGTATGACTGCATCGTTTCTGCTTGCTCGCAACTGCTGTGTTCACGGAAGCTTTGCGTTCAAATATTTTCAACTCAAATCAATATTTTGTGTGTAATTATTTACTTATGAGGCAAGTAGTCATGTAATAAGTGGGATAATGTACATTCAGCCGGTTGTTATCGCAGAATACCTTTAAAAAAACACAACAAATTCCTTGTGTGTTTTTGCGCACACCTGGCGAATAAAGCTACTTCTGATTCTGATACAAGACCTGATCACCCTGTCGGGGGTTATTCTATGATAACAACCGGCTGGATGTACATTTTCCCTTACTTAACATACAAAGACAACTATAAATAGCTCATTCATAGGTTAATTTACCACAAAAAGTTGAACGCTGTGACTGTGAATGGAGTTTGGGGGCGGGGATACCTATTTGCGTGAGTAATGGCAGACAGAAGAGTCCAGGAACAAATTCAGTTGTTTGAAATTACATTTCATTACGCTAGTGAAAAAAATAAGTACACACTACACTACACCTAGAATTTTTTTCTGTCTTAAATTTATTTAAAAAAATGACAATAATGCTGTCAATCTACCATTCAACACTGATCCTACCAGAAAGTGATTAACAGCCTATCCTTGTGAAAAAGTATTATGATAGCTTTTGGCACTTTTTTTGTTTGTGTATCAGCTTGTGGTTCCTCTAACACCACTTCTGTTCATCTAGTTGGTGCGCAAGTGTCTACCCTTACATCTGTCATCAGACAACAGAGATTGCCAAACAAAAACAAGAGTACAAATTTAAACATATTCCCGTCAAAGCCAGAGACAAAATGACAGCGAGTAGATTATGTGTTTGTCTGTTTGCCAGCCTAGATATATGACAGGAATATATATATATATATATATACATATATATATATATAAATATAAATATACAGTGATAAGTGTGAGCACACATTCTGCTCAACAAACCCTTGATTTCTCAGCCAGATCTCCTGACTCAATATCATCATATCATCATCCCATTAGTCAGAGGCCGCAGGGGCCTGAGGCTGAGATCCTGTCAGAACTGAAGCACTGTTTCACAAACAGACTGACTAATAGCAGATGAGTTGGCTTTGTTCATTCCATGTAAGGCACACAGAACGCCAACAAAGTATCAGTTGTTATTGCAAATGCATGTAACAAGTAAAAAATAATTTATGATCCATTTCAATACACTCACACCTGAATTACATTATTCTGTTGGATTAAAACATCTACTCACCATGATGAACCACTCCTCTTAGTCCATGAATAATCGGATCTACTGCAGGATTGTCCTTCATCCCCACCTGAGAAAGAGAAAAGTAATATAAAAAGAAGAATGACTCATTTGTGTTGGACAGACAGAAAGACAGACAGACAGACAAAGAGACAAAATAACAATCAGTCAGTCAGTCAGTCAGTTAGACAGACAGACAGACAGACAGACAGACAGACAGACAGACAGACAGACAGACAGACAGACAGATAGATAGATAGATAGATAGATAGCTTTGTACATTTTTGACACAGAAAATGCTGGTAGATATTCTGTCTGAATGGAGCACATGAAGTTAGTGTGCTGTGCTGATTCATAAAAAGCAAAATGACTGCAATCACTCACAAACACACCCTCAGATAAGTGAACCCATTATTCCTCAAACCGCTTCAAAAGCTGCCTATGTTTGAGATGCACCTGAACTGCCTGAATTGTTGAACACAGACAAAAGACTCCAATATGCAATAAAGCCTAAAAGAAAGCAGCTACAGTACTGACCTTTAATGTGTGTTTCTGTGTGTGTGTGTGTGTGTGTGTGTGTGTGTGTTATGGAAAGAGAATGATAGTTTGCTCAGTGCTGACTATATACAAAAATGGTTTAAAAATAATTTTAACAATCTTGACCCTAAAAAAAGCACAGATCAGGAAAAATCCATAACAGGCGGAGCACTTCATTAGCTCCTCTTGGACGGAGGTGTATCAAATAGATGTTTGTGCTTTTAAGAAGCCCTCACAGGGTTGAATCAGGAGACAGGCTTTGACAGAGAGGACCCAAGGGGTGAGGTCTATTGTTGAGTCTGTGCGTGTGTGTGTGCTGGTTGTGTATCAAGGAGGCCAGCGCTGGTTAGCCGATCTAACCAACATTCCCATGAGGCAGGAGGGAAAAGGATTCACACACTTCCACTGGCCCTCAGCCACCCTCTCTCTCACATAAATCTCTCCAGGCTCTTTGAACACTCTTGTGCTGTTTCTTGCATGAAAGAGAATTCCAGAAGCTCGATGCAGGAAGTGGGTGCAGAGAGTGAACGGCACAAGTCTGCATTACAACAACGGTCTAGAACAGTTTTCTTAGACAGATTTCAGCCTCAGTGTAGAGATTGCTCACTGAGGTCACACAACAGACAGACATACAGGCAGTCAAAACAACGGATAGAGAGTCAAATAGATAGCAGACCAGCAGACAGACAGACAGAGAGACAGACAGACAGAGTGAAATATGAAAAGGACACATGTAGAGACAAACAGATATAATGACAGACAATTAGAGAGACAGACAGACAAAAACAATTAACAAACAGACACACATACAAACAGAACGACAGACAGCCCAACCGAACAACAGATAGAACAACAAACAGACAGACAGACAGACACATAGAAAGCTATACAAACAATGACAGACAGACAGACAGACAGACAGACAGATAGATAGATA